TCTAAAATAAGTAAAAAATTTGTAAATTAAGTGTATTTACCCTTAATTTGAGTAGGTAAATTAGAGTTTGCCAGTGCAATGGGTATTTTTACTCTTAAAATAAGATAATTATATAATTTGCACATGAAATAAGACAATGACAATAAGACAATTTCGATTTTTTTCCAGTGTAGAGGAGTAGTGTAGTGTAGTGTGTATATTCAAATTTATTCATTAATGTCTTACAAATCTCTGATTATTACACAAAGTTATCTATGGAGCGGTCTGTCGATTCAAACAAAAGTACCCCGCTCAGTAGTATAGGGTAGCAGGTCGACCTCCCCAAGATGGCGCCCGTACTTCCTGCGCTGCGACAGTCAATGCAGGGTCTACTCTTTTATTATGTCTGCAGGAGATGGACTAAATGAAGCTATTACCTGATGCAGAGAGGGCATTCAAAGTCTGAGACGGTGAGCACAGCCAGTGTTTTCTCTCTGCCTGCTTTACTTTCCCCTGGGATGGAGAGAACGTTGTGAGAAGTTAAGTGAAGAATCAGAAGATCAATAACATTTACTGTCTGTTAACATAATGATGAAGACAATTAAATGTCTCTCTGGAGCGCTGGCTTACCTCTACCCTGGCATTCTTCTTTCCTCATCATCATTTCCTCATCTTCTTCACCGGCAGGCAGGAAGGAAACAGCTTGGCAGAGGCTGAGGCAGCACTCCGTACCAGCTTCATGCTTCATCTGGAAACCAATAACAAAGCTCAGTTCAACTAGTTAGGAATCAGAAATAATCCCAGGGCTAAATTACTTTCGTTACATGACTCCATCTGCAATGACTAAAGGTCCAGTTTGATAGACACTCTTTCGTACAAAATTAGGGGGTCCCCGCTCCATTTTACCATCTGTTTGGGGGTTTTAGAATGTTTATATCAGAAGGATGTAATTTTATTGTGGATTGTTATTATAATTATTTTATTTTCTTGTTATATAATATTTTATTTTGCTCTATTTTTATTCTGTAAACAGTTGCACTGCTAAAAAAGAATTTCCCACAAGGAAATAGTATATAAAATATATAAAATATCGGACATTTTTGTGCGTTCCATGCGTGTAGATTCAATGACATGAGGCCCCCCAAGTGGTGAGAGGGAAATAAAAATAAAAAATATTAAAAATACTTTGCCCTATTTATAAATTTATGAATATTTTTAGAAAATTTTTTTTTGTTTGTTTTGTTTTACTATTACGTGTATTTGGATTTTAATTTAATTATTTTACTCGCCAAATAAAGAGGTGTCCTACGGAAGAGGTTTAGGGCCACTGAAAAAAATAAAAAAGTTACGTGATTTTTTTATTTTATTTCAGTTAAATATGGGAAAAAACATTTTTTTTTTTATTTTAATATCAGAATTAAAGTCAAAATTAAAGTCAGAATTCTGACTTTTTTTCCCACATTAAACTGAAATAATATTTAAAAATCACCTAATGTTTTTTATTTTTTCACTGGCCCTAATCCTCTTCCATGTAAATTTACATGGTCTAATGACAGAAACGAGGAGGAAATTTGGACACAGAAACGCATTTTGGATTTTTTGGGAAAACCACCACAATTGAAGAAGAAGAACACTAGTACCGCAACCATGACAACGGAGAGCAGCTTGAGTGAGTAGAAAGTCCGCCCACCTGTGATGGAAGTTACACTGGCAGGCTCAGCTGCAACCATGTCAACAATTTATGGGGGGAACAGGGGGGACATGTCCCCTGCACTTTTTCAAATGTTTGTATTTGTCTCCTGCATGTTTTACTGTCCAAAAACAATGACAATCCGCTACAGTACAAAGACATTCGTCGAGCACTAGGACCAAGCGGAAAACCGCAGCTCAAGCTGAAGCCAGCTTCACTGAGTTTAGACCGCCCACAAGCTCCTGATTGGCCCTCCATCTTGTGTGATTAGATCGTCAAGCACGCTGAAATCAGTTATATTAAACGATATTTGCGTCTCACCCACTTCTGAAATAAAAATTTCATCCATGCCGCAACCCAAGCTAGCGTAACTAGATCAGACGAGCCCTTCCAGCCAACAGTTTCAGATTTCCTGCTTGGCGTTGAGGTAATTAAACGTTCCAACGTTCTGTGGCGCCTGTGTTCTGTCAGATAAGCGTACCCAGTCAGACCAGCATACCCATAGTCAATGCCAGTTTATCCCTTTAGATTTGTACTAAGAATAAACTTTAAACTGCCTCAATGAGCGTGTATTCCTTTAGTTATCAGTACGTTTTAAGACGCACTGATCACTAGCTGTCAATCAAAAGAACGGACAAGTCTGCTCTGATGCATGCTGGGTAAAGAGGGAGGGACTTTGTCGGTTGTCAGCCTTGTGTCATTGTGAATTGGAACAGTACGAGGGCCGAGGCTGATTACGTTTCACGAGGAAACGAGAACGTACAAGCACACAGATTGAGAAACGGCCGTAGTCTTTTTGAGTGTTTTTTTTGTGTTATCATTATGGTATATAGTGCGTAATCTAAAGAAAGAAGCAACTAAAAAGCAGATAAACGCAGTTTAATCATATTTTGTCGGACTGCTCTGAGTCCCATGATGAGGTCAGAGAAGCAGTTTAACGGAGAAAACGTAAAAAGCATCAAAGTTGTCTCAGAAATGTCATAAAAATGTTTTAAAGATGTGTATTAGCATTATTTACTGAGTTAAAGATTGAAATAAGTACTTTAAGTACTATAATTACATTATTTATGGCTCAGAAATGTCATAAAATGTTTTAAAGATGTGTATTAGCATTATATACTGAGTTAAAGATTGAAATAAGTACTTTTAGTACTATAATTACATTATTTATGGCGTGACAATGACAATGCTTTGCTAGCGTTGCTACAACCTGGATGGAAACATACTGGTTCAAGAAGCGGTATTTCCTGAAAAGCAGCCAATCAGTGTTAGTTTACTTTCTAGGGTCGGTTCCTCCCTCAAAGTGACAGAAGTTGACATGAGAGCAGAGAAACAGGTCTACAGGTGAGAAGGAGAGAATCTACAGGTGGACAGAAACCCAGAGAGCAGAAATGAGCATGAAGTCATGGATGTGAGATATTGGGACCTCATGGTGTTTAATCTACATGTGTAAAATGTTTAAAATGTATGCGGAGAGTAGTTTAAAAGCTTAAAAAGAAACTGCTCCTATGAGTATTTATCGCAGCGTACCCTTTTTGCAGGACTGACTTCAGAACAAGGAGCATCCTGAATCTTCACCTTGTGTGCTTCTCTCCTCTCCATGTTTGGGTTCTTGCCTTCTCCTTGCGTCGGTGCCTGGGAGCCGCTGAGGGTGGTGATGGGGGGTTCTTTCAGGTAATCAGAAACCAGCTGCAGAATGCATGGCACCTCCTCTGGCACCGCTATTCCCTCTACCTGCAGGACCTGTCATTCAGAATAAAATGGTGAAGATCTGCCTGCATTAAAGCTCAGGTTTCACATTTTGAGGCCTTTTTGGAAAATCTAGATTAAAATATCAAAAATCCACAGCAGGTCATAAACGATGCTTTTGAACCTTTAATGTGAGATGAACTAACCTTCTTGATCTGGCTCTTTGCAGCAACAAAGTCAGCTTGAAGTTTTAGGCAATGGTGGAACTGGATCAGGGCTTCCTTCTGCTGACCCATTTCCAGCAGAACATTCCCTTTACGATAAAAACCCTGCAGAGATAACAGAGAGTCAGCATCCATCTGCCTGTTCATGAAAAGACTGCAACTCTGATCCTACTGCAACCTTTAGAAAAAGGTATAAATACAGGCTTTTATTGGATTAATTATCTTTAGAAAATCCACCTAAAAGCTCATTTCAGTTTATTGGAAGAATCTAAATATTGTCTCTATTTAAAATGTCCAAACTAGGGCTGCAAATAGATTAATCTGTTAATGATTTTTTTGAGCAATTGATTAATAATCTTATAGCCAAAGATAAAGAATATTTTTAACAAACTTAAACCAGATGAGATCTGTATTACAGAGCAGATTGATTGAGAAGTTTATTATTTTTTTTTATTTTAATGCAAAACATTTATATATGAGTCGCTCTGTCAGCTACAGGCCTGTTTTACAGTCTCTATACTCCAGTATAATGATTAATCAGTTACTAAATTAGTTGACAATTGTTTCAATAATCAATTAATCTGATAGATTATTTCAGCCCTAATCCAAACATTTGTTTAGATTCAGCCTCAGATCCAGACAATAACAACCATGGTGGTGAAACAAAACATTTCCTTTAAATGTTTATTCAAGATCCATCTATCACCCATAATACTGTAAATAACTGCTGTAAAATAGGAAAAATAAGTATAAAAAGTTCAATAATATTTAGAAATGAGCCATTTCAGTTTATATATTTTGAACATAAGTTATAATAAGACAATTCTTTTTCTTTTACCAACTTCCTGTATCTTTTTTTTTTTTTTTGGTGACTGAGAGCTGCTGTAAGAATTAAAAAAGTTAATCTAAACACATTATAGTCCCGGTAAAGTGCTGATGTTAGGACAGAAAAGGCTTTTGGGACTAAATTAAAATCAGGTTGCAGAAACGTTGACCCTAAAATGCAGCTCTTTGATGTAATCTATAATAATCCAACCCAGCAAGATAAAGGAATTTCACGGTTATCAGAAATAAGAAACAAACGTTGGGGATTAAAAATCTGAAGTTCCCAGATACTCTGAATTATTTTCATGGAAGTTAAACTTTATTTAATAGTTAGTATACAGTGAACCCTCGCTATAACGCGGTTCACTTTTCACGTTCTCGCTGCTTCACGGATTTGCATCATGCATTGTTAAACTTTATTGTCAAACATAATCGATGGTGGCATGTCGGTTTATAAGGATCTTTTGGCCCAGAAGAAAAAAGAGCGACAGCAACTACCGATAACTATGTTCTTCTCTCCAAAAAACACACCTGCACTGCAGGCTTTAGAAGAAAAAAAACGCCACAGAGCTACGGTGGCCCTGAAGTGCAAAATGCAACTACAAATCTAAAAGCGCAACTACACTAAGGAAAACACAATTACATTAACCTACCGGAAAAGGTAGGTACCAGTGGGAAACATGAGACATCGCTGATTGGACGACGGCGCCGTTTGACCCTTGAACCGGAAGTTGCGTCGTCTGAACAGTCCAGCTTCTTTTAAGTGTGTCTTCAGTGTACGCAAACTAACTGAAATTTCGTGATTAGTCTTGAGCATATCCAGTATCACCTCGTACGTATGTCCTGATTCAAAATATTCCTGGATAACGGCAGCTATGTTTGGGGCGCCGACAATATCCATGTTTTCAAAAGCCACAGCAGGCAGAATGACTTCCGGTTCAAGGGTCAAACGGCGCCGTCGTCCAATCAGCGATGTCTCATGTTTCCCACTGGTACCTACCTTTTCCGGTAGGTTAATGTAATTGTGTTTTTCTTAATGTAGTTGCGCTTTTAGATTTGTAGTTGCAGTTTGCACTTCAGGGCCACCGTACAGAGCAGAGTCAGGATGCAGCGGCTCCATCAGAACAGCAGTGAAATACTGAACTGTACACGTCAGTTACTATTTGTCCTACTGTATTTCGTATTTTTTCCATAATCATTTTTAATTTTCTCCCGTTCCAATCCGTCATGGCGGGGCGGTGCTGATCAGCGCAGTATTAACCCTTCAGTTCGTATTGATGATTAAAATTATTACTTATTTATTTATAACTATATTATTTAACAGAACAGTACAGTAGTTATTTGCTAAAAAAAAAAAAACATTTATACAGTACTTTTATTTGTTAAACAAATGCTTGGGCCTGTAAAAAGTTCCTTGATTTCAATGTTTTATGGAGTATTTCATTGTATAATAACTGTAAAAAAATAAAGGTTTCTACTTCACGGATTTCGCCTATCGCGGGTTCTTTTTGGAACGCGATAAACAAGGATTTACTGTAATGCGAGTACTTATAGGATGCAACTATACGGTCATGTAATTCAAGCAATAAAAAATGATTTAATATCAGCAATTTGATTAGAGATTCAGAAAAAATAATCTGGATCATTAGAATCAGAATCAAATCAATTCTAGAGATTCGAAACGAAACCAGATCCTGATTTTAATGTTTGAACGCATCCTAAACAGGATTACCAGCATCCTATACTAGCTTCATGTGCTTCAAAGTCGATAAAAAGCCTTTTGATCGTTGGATTCAGGCCTGATCTGCCTTCTCTGTCACCGTCAGCTCAACGGCTCAAATGTAAAGAAACTCATTTCTGCAAACAGAACCAAGCAACACAATGACTGCATGCGTTGGACTTTCCACAGCAGCACTAAATTATTAAGCTAAGTTATGACATAAGTGGCTGTTTGCATAACGCTGAGGGTGACATAACCTTAAAAAAAGGCAGAAAAAAAATGGCTCCGAACAGAATGGCTTAGAGCAGAATACAAAGAGAGCAGGGAGTCCACACATTCCTGGTTATGCGTCATTTCATTTATGTTACAAAAGCAAATGTTTTGAGTTGGCTCCAGGAAATGCTTTCCTAGAAATGCATTTTTTACATGACAGCCAAATGTCGTAGATCCCATTGCAAAAGCTGATTTAAAAATACGCAGAATATTTTTAAAATGCAGAATGATTTGACATTTAAATATAACTTCCATAAGACTTTAAACGCAATTATAAAAGTGTAAAGTTGTTTAAATATCCTTGTTTTGGATGAAAAATGTGCATTTCTATCAGTCAAATGCCTGCTGAGGCTGTTAATAGTTAATAGAGGAAAGGTAATCGTAACAACTTTATATATATAACAGCTTCGAAGCATCTGATGCAGGTCCAGCAGATTCCATAAAAGCTTCTTTTCCGCTGCCATTAAACTGCTTAATGTTGAATAAAATGGTGTGTTATAAATTTTTTTTTAAAAAGCACTGAATCTTGAAAACTGTTTATCACATACCTACGGTGGCTGAGAGGTGCAAAACACATATACAATTCAAAAACACATTAACAAATAAAAAACAAAATAACATTTGAAGAAACAAAATCATATTTTATGAAACAAATGTATTTTTGAAAAAAAAAGTTTACATTTTTAAAAACAAATTTACATTTTAGCAAACAAATTTACATCTCAAAAAAATTTACATTTTAGGAAACAAATTCACATTTTAAACAAGTTAGATTTTAGATGAGAGAAAGTTTCATTTTAGAGAAAAAAAAATACATTCTAGGAAAACAAATTTACATCTCAAAAAAATTTACATTTTAG